ATTATTTAAATATGCATTTACACACACACATTAATTACAAAAGTTGTTAGAAGAAATTTAAAATACACCAGGAGGAAGTTTAATAAGAAGACTTACTATGACAACCAAAATGGAATGGCTCACAGCACTGTGATTAACTTGATTGCATGGTATCTTGTGGAATAACGGTTCTGAGTGTTGTTGCTTACTGGATAATCCTGTTTTGTCTGAATTTATTTGTTAATACAAATTTAAGAGAAAAGGTTTCTGTTTGGGCTCACTACTCCTGAACCCTCCAAAGAAACCGCATCCCTTCTGACAATTTATTTAAAAAGCATTTCTATTATCTCTTTAAACAAGGGTTTTTTTCTACCTACTCTCTTTGTTTATATTTGTTAGTCTACATACTACTCAAACTGCCTTAAAAATAAATATAGCTTATGAATTGCAGTAAAGTTTAATCAATGCAGAGGGAAGGCAAAATATTAAATTTCACACAGAAATCTAGAGATCAGAATACAATGGCGAGTAATAGCATGACTTTGATTCATGACATAAACAGCAGAGATGGATTGGCAAAGATATTTATAGTGATTCCAGGATTCATATTATGAAGCAAAATGTTTTTTTTTTCCTTTCAGTTATTCATTGGAAGTTAGGAAATTGGAAAAAACATTCACAAGAAACTTTATCTTGTTGAATAAAAATGTAGTATATCGACTGTTCTTTATTACAAAACAGCCTCAGATGAAAATCAAAACTAAATATGCGTAAACATTTTGGCAAACAAATCCAGCCTCAATCATACGCAGTAAACAAAGCAAACATCTTTATATAAATTACGTTCAGAATCAACAGGCTGAAAAAGTATAGATGTTGAGTAGGCAACTAGTTTGCTCTAAGATCACTACTGCTATTTGAAAAAATGCAGGTATATGAGTTATTTCATCAGTTAAACAGGTACTATTCAAATAGTAAAATCAGTCACTAATCAACCTCTAGTTATTCTCAGTGGGCACATCCACATCTGCAAATTAATGTGAAGCAATAAGCCCTGGCACATATCGTGCCGGAGTTTATTGCTCCCGGGCGCTGTGTTAACACATGTACCCAGGACCATAGCACATTGAGCCAGGTGAGAGCAGCCTTGGCTGGCAGAGGGCACAGGGGGTCAGCCTGCCAGCCCAGGGCTGCTCAACATGCTGCAAAGGGGTTGGCTTGGCACAAGGGTGCTTCAGTGAAGGACTAGTACCCCTCGTGTCCCAGCCAGTCCCGTCAGCATCTACACATGCTGCTCACTAAAAACTCCACCACAGGATAGTACTTGTATTTACAAATACTAACCTGTTACAGAGTTTATTAGTTTCCTGCAGCCTAATCGAGCCACACATGTAGATGCCAAAGCATTTGCTGCAGAGCTAATTAGGCAACTGCACAGTAAATGTCTCATGTAGATGTGCCTACTGTGAATAAATAAGCTTCTTTAAAATGCATATTTAATAGAGGATTATTAATTTATTTCTGTTCTATTTGTGTCATTGTATGCAAGGACAATTCAGTATATATTAAGGGCCCCCAAAATAAGACACCTAACTTCTGTTGAAATTGAATTCCAGGAAAGTTGCATGTCTAACTCCCTTAGGTGGGGATTTTCAAAGGAGTGTAAAGTCACAGGTAAATGATGCAACACTAACATTTCACAAACTTACCTGGAACATCTGTGCCAGCCGTAAGGAAAATTTCTCTAGGTGTTGCACTGAGAAAAGAGGCCTGTTTTCTTTTCGCCAATATGGTTCGGGGGGGCATGTACTGGCTTTTACCATGCAATTTCTCAAATGATTTCTGAACCTCATAGGAACCTGGTGGTGGAACTTCCTGTAGTTTTAAGAAAAGTCAGAAAAATGTCAGAAGGAACTACACAGAATTTACTTTGCATGGTAAACATCGAATTACAACAGCATCAGTTACGGGAAAGCACCAAATGCTGAACACTTTTGTTTACCTTACGTCTGCTACAGACAGATTTCACTAAAACCATAAAACTAATTTTATTCCATCACTGGTTTGGTTTGGTTTGGTTTGATTTACCATTTGTTCTCCCACCTCCTTTTGGACCCTCCTATAATCCACAGAATAACAGTCTCTGGTTAAGAAAGAGACCTTCTTAGTGCTGTGTACACTATCTTACCAGCTACATCGTGCATAAGTATATATTAAGAACTAAGTTCCTAATTTAGGAGGTTAAAATGCTATATCTGTTATCCTTTTAAGATTTAGATAAACTCAGAAAATAAGATTTATGAAAGATAGAACAACATTAGGACTCTTCTTTATGCTCTGGGCATGGCCCCATTTCAGCCAATACCTAATTTTTTTTTCCAATCCTGGTACTGCTTTAATTAATATGACTACAGGCCCAGTTAACTTGTGACATCTCGTGATACTGGATGCTACTGATACAGGAAGTGTCAGCTTTCTATAACCTCAGAATTTCCTTTAACCAATCATATGTGGTCCTATAAGCAGCAATTTAGTGACACAAATCAATGTGCTCCTGCTTCAAGTTAGCCTTTTCTGATGCATATATAATTCATATTCTTTTTGAGAGACACAACTTAGCATTTGCATAGACACACACCTCACTAAAAAAAAGTTTAGTTCTTGCTTAATTCTGACATAACTGGATGGCATTTCCTCTTCTCTAAGCATGCTATCCACCTAAGAACCCATTGGTACGTCATTAAGAGCCAGCCTCTCTCTATTTCTGCAGCACAGAACACAGGTAGGCACCTGCTGACTAGCTAGACAGCTATCCTCACATTATCATTTCTAATTAATCTTTGGAATAACAAGGAATAATAAGTTTCTGGGTAATAATGGGAATAGTGCTAACTCATTTCCTTATTCTGCTGTTTTTAATTTAACTGGTCTTGTTTCATTACACCAGGGAATTTATTATATTTATAGTACAAGACAAACCTGCTTACTGCAGATGAAAGAGCAAGGGAATCAGAAAGAATCATTTAATGCAGTCCCCTCAATAAGTTCAGTATGTGCTTCTGAATTTATGTACAGCACCTCTATATTTTATGGAAGTCACAGGAGGTTACAGTACCACTGAACATGGTCCTGATTAAAATCCCAGCTGGAATATTGTGTGCAAGTATGGACTCTGCAGTTTCACCATATGCCTCTTAAAATGAAGGATACAGCCCACAGCTGTATTGGTCTTTTCTTGATTTTGGGTTTGGTTTTTTTGCGACTCCATCATATTGCTGAATCATGTTGAGTCTGATCTACCAAACCCTCAAACCCCAAATTACCTCATATTTTGCATTTGTACATTTGCTTTTTTCTTCCCTAGATTCAGTATATTATAACATATTTTCAAGAGTCCATCAAGGCTTCAAATTTAAGATGACCCCCTATAATTAGATTCAATACATGGAAAATTTATAAATTGGTTATAATTTCCCATGCATAGAATCCATCCCCTCCAACCACTGCAGCAGATCCCAGCAGTGCTTGGGTGATAGGTGGTAGGGGGTCAAAGGGCCTGACCTCCACCCCTTGCTCCCTTGTCTTGACAACCACTTGTCCCTTCCCTCCCCCCACTGCTGCTGCCCACCCCTAGTGCCTGAATACCCCAGTACCTGCCCTTCCACACTATCTGGTACCACCTGGTTCCTGTCTCCCACCACTTTCCTCCCTTCTCACCTGCTCCCCTGCCTGCCCCACAGCACTGCCCCCTCAACACTGCATTATTTCTGCCCCACCCACACTGCTGCTTATCTTCTGTCACTGCTCTGCCTTCGCCTCCAAGCCCATTCCAGCCTTGAGCATGGAGTACATGGTACTTTGGCCCATACTCAGCCAGGCAGCAGTGGCAGCAGCTCAGGTCTCAGCCCTAGGTCAGAGCTGGAGCCAGAGCCTCCATTGCCTCAGCCACTCCTGCTTGACCAGGCAGGGCTGAAGTGACCATGTGTGGCCAGGATCAGGTCCAGAGTCAGAGCTCCTGCAGCCGCTTATCCCCTCCTCCCCTTGCTTATACTCAAACTCAAGACAAGGGGCTTTCCCCCCTATACTGAATGGGGGGAGGGGGCTTGTCTTTCATTCAACTAAATAAGGTATTTGTCTTTGATGGATTTCATTTCTTTGTTTAGTACCTAGTTCTCCAATCTTTCAAAAGCCTTTTGAATTTTAATCCTGTTCTCCAAAGTGTTCCCTGAATCAACCCTTCCCACTTCTGTAACTTCTGCAAATATGATCAGGAAGCTCTGCATTCCCAGTTCCAAATCATTAATACAAATGTTAAACAAAATCAAAGCCAGCACAGACCAGAGTAGAATCTGCCTTCAAGCCTCCTGCATTCTTACACCAATCTATTTATAGTGACCTTCTGCTTGTAGTAATTCATCCAATTATGTATTCAACTAATAGAAATTCTACCTGTGTACTTATAAAAATGTCATATAAGACTGATCAAAACCTTACTAAAGTCTGTTATGTTCACAGCATTCCTTCATCCCTTTTACTGACCACAAAAGAAAATCAGGTTGGCCAAATCCATGCTAGTTACTAAGTGATCACCATTTCCTCCTTCACATGTTTTCAAATTGCTTTTGTTCTAGTAACTTTACAGATGATGAGGTCAGGTTGATTAATCTGTAATTAATCAGGCCCTTCCTTTTAACATGTTTAAAAATGAGCACTATATTAGCTCATCTCCTGTCCCCGACAGGGCTTTGCAAAGCTTCGGGTGCTGATTCGATTCAGAGGAGATTTGTCCCAATTTGGTGGCCAAATCTCCAAATCGGAATCAAATCAGGGGACCAATTAAAATGTCCAAATCAACTCAAAGCTCTCCAAATTGATTTGGAAAAGGTTCAGAGAGCTTCAGCAATTTTGGCAGTCCTCGCTCGCTCTCACAGGGAGCTGGACCCAGACTCCATGCTGGTAATTAGAGGGTGGGGGAGGGGGAGCTGGAAGGGGGGAAAACCATGGATGGATCCCTGCCAGGCCCTAACCCCTGCCTGCTCCCCCAACCCCCACCCGCTCTCCCAGTTCCCCACCCCCCAGGG